TTTATTTATTTATTTATTTTGCAGCACCAGGGATCAAACTCAGGACCTTGCACTTGCTAGGCAAGCACTTATTCCACTGAGCTATCTCCCTAACCCCCTACCCATGCTTATAACAGCACAACTCATGATAGTGAAACCTTGGAAGCAGCCTATCTATCCATGAACAGATGCATAAAGCAAGAAAATGTGGTATTTACATACAATGTATGAATACTCTCCATCTCTGGAAGAATACATTTGAGTCATTTAGAGGAAAATGGATAGCACATTGAGATCATGTTTAGTTAAATAAGTTAGCTACACAAGCTTAAATACTGCATATTCCCCTATATTAAAGACCCAAAGTACAAATACCTAAACAAACAAAAGATAGTAGGAAACAGAGAGATCTTTTGCAAATGGGTAAAGGATCTAGGGGCAGAGGGAAGGGGAAGAATGGCAGGAGAGGTAAAATAAAAAGAATTAAGAAATGTTAAGTACATGTACTTACTCCCTACAACGAATGTGAACACTATGTGCTACAAACATGCACTAATGCAAAATGAATATCAAACATAAAAATGAAATTATGATGTGATGTTTAGTAATCATTCTCACGACCTGGCTTTGTAGTGCACAAGTGCAGAATGCAGAGGCGACAAAGGACCAGGGTCTATACAGGAGGGCGCAGCACTGCACTCCCTTCTGCACCCCCTCACACACAGCCAGTCGAATCCAAACCCACGCACACCAGACATTCTGTGCGCTTGTTTGATTTGGAAAGAAAAATGCAGCGGTTGCTAATGACAGTGTTTCAACCTACCTATGCGTTTATTGTTTTAAGCAAATGGTTAAGCTTTCTTAGTTCATTATTGAACTTGGGCTTATTAGGCTGTTTTCTTCACTGTTATTTAAAACATAAAAAAGAAGTGTTGAGGGCTGGTGAGATGGCTCAGTGGTCTAAGGCACCTACTTAGAACAAGCTAAGCCAAGCAAGGCACAGGGACCTCGGTTCAATCCCCCAGCACCACATGCCAGCCTGCCTGCCCCCTGGTGGGCTGAGCTGGCCACATACAAATAAATAAATAAATAAATAAAAGAAGTGTTGATACTTAAATATATTCACTGTGTTATATATGTGTCTCAAGACAATTCCTCTGCACTCAGTGTGGCTTAGGCAAGCCCAAAGGTCTAGCCCAAAGCCATACCTGCTCCTCCCAAGTCCCAAAGCCCCTTTCTACACCCTCTCCTCTCATCCCCTGCGACTGGCAAAAGGCACCCTATACTGTTCTCTTCTGTGCACTCAACTTGTCTCTGCATAAACACTGTGACTCTCTGCAGCACCAAACTCAAGCTGACTGTCCTCAGGCCTCGGCCCAGACTGTAGCTGGCTTCGTCTCAACTTCCAAAGCTCAAGGGACCTTCACCTCTTGCAGAGAGCCTCCCAGACCCATGTCTCCAGCTGTTCCACTGTGACAATGCCCACTCCCTCCTGCCCCACATGGGAAGGGGAGTCCCCATAGGAACAGGTCCTGTCCACCAAAAGCTGCTTCATAAAAATTAGTTGATTAAATAAGAAGAGGCAGCCTACTTTGTCTTCCCAAAGTCCTTGGCCTTTACAAATGCTGTTCGATCATCCTGGAATACTTTTTTCTTCCTTTCTCTCCTGTTCTCCCATAAGTGGCTCCTACTCAAACATAAATGTTACCTATTTTCTGGCTTTTCCATATGTGGGACCATTTCCCCATGACCATGCTCCCTCGGTACCCTATACTCAATCCTAAATCTATTTTTATTTGTCTTCCTTGAAAGACCATAAATAAAGTCATTGTTAAAATTCCTGGCATAAGGGGCTGGTGAGATGGCTCAGTGGTCTAAAGCACCTACTCAGAACAAGCTTAGCAAAGCACAGGGACCGCGGTTCAATCCCCCAGCACCACATGCCAACCAGCCCCGCCCCCTGGTGGGCTGGCCACACACATAAATAAATTTTAAAAAATAATAATAAAAATTTATAAAATTCCTGGCATAGTGCATATAGTTGCTCAATACTTATTTACTAGAAGGATGGATGGATGGAGGGACAGATGGACAGAGGACCAATTAACATGGAGCAACGAACCATTCTTCTGGCTACCACGAGGGGGCAGCACTCAACAACCAAAACATTGAGTAGCACCACCAGACCTGACAAGAGGCCTTGCCTCCCATCCAGAGCAATGACTCAGGCAGGAGAGCAGACCCCAGAGGCCATGCCACACCTTTGGGGCCCTACAGCCCCAGGAGCAGGGCAGGGCAGGGCAGGAAAAAGCCACAGGGTACAAGCCCAGCACCTACCCAGCATGCCGATGCCCAACATGAAGGCGTCCATTCCGTAGGGCATGACTCGAGACCTCCCCCGGGCTGAACCTGTTGGGGACATCACCTCCTTTGGCTGAGCTTTCTTACATTCCACCTGCAATGAGACCAGATGGTCAGTCTTTCCTACCTCTAGGGTCACTGTTCCTCCTATTCCTGGACAGTGCTTTGATAGGCAGGGTTTTGCTCTGTAGTTTAGCCAGGCCTTGAACTCACTTTGTAGCCCAGGCTGGCCTCAAGTTCACAGCAATCGTTCTGCTTCATCCTCCCAAGTACTGGGATTACAGGCATGTGCCACCGTGTCTGGCCCTCTTAATTATTAATTTCACTGTTAGCATTTATGGAACATGTACTATGTGCCCTGCATTATATAAAAGGATTGGTGTGCAGCGAAGTTCATTGAATGTTTACCCAAGCTATTGTGACTCCCATCTTACAGATGCAGAAACTCAGGCTCAGAGAGACCCAATTAACCATTATATGCCTAAAAAATATTTTTTTGGGGAAGTGGGAGAACCAGGTCTGCTCATTCCTTGTGCCATGCCCCCTGCCTGCCTCTGGAAATCCAGAGCTTTCCAAGTGGGGTCAGCCCTGAGCCCCAGGCCCTGTCTGCACCTCTCCCTCCCTCCAGTCCCAGCTCACCATTTTGTTGTTGATTTCATGGAAATGGATTTCACACACTTTCTCCACGATGTCTTCACTCTCAAATGTGACAAAGCCAAACCCTAGACATTGAGAAGGGGCAAGGGCAGGGTCAAAACCAGAGCTCCCGGTCAACACCCAGCTCCAGGCCATCCCGACACCACAGCTCCTCTCTTGTGGGCAAGTGTCTGAGAGTTAATGAAAGGCTCTGGCTGCAGCCTAGCAGCCTCTCGACTATCAGCTGAGACAGGGCTTCAAGTCCCAAATTACAGATGAGCAAACCAAGGCTCAGCAAAGTGAAGAAACTCGCCTAAGGTCACACAGCAAGTTAGAGAGTGGCACAACCACCACGAGGTATAACTGTCCCTTAGAACGAGAGGAGGATTGATCCCAGGACCCCCTCACACACAGATACCAAATTCCATGCCACATTCAAGTCCTTATAAAGAAAACCCACCATATGTGTACAGACCCTACGCATATCCTGCCATTTGTACACTTTAAACCATCTCTACGTGACTTTTAATTCCTAGTACAATCCAAATGCTATGAAAATAGTTGCTTATTGTATGGCTTAGGGAATAACAACAAGGAAAAAAAGTCTGCAGGGACTCAGTACAGACCCTTTTTTTTTTTTTTTTTTCTCATATATTTTTTAAACTGGTTGAATCTGAAAACACAGACTCCGTAGATACGGAGGAGTGACTACATTTAATGTGCAGATGCTTTCTTAAGAGGGAAGAGAGGACACCCTCATTCACTGCAACTTACACAAAAGTGTACGTGTCCAAATATACCTTTGTACGCAAACACCCAACACGCAGGCACACGCACTGCCTGGGGTCCCACCTCACACACAGGGGCACTCTACATGTGTAGTTGCCCTGACACACCACACATACACACGTTTCAAACACTCTTTTTTTTTTAAATATTTATTTATTTTAACATTTATTTATTGTGTGTGTGTGTGTGTGGCCAGCTCAGCCCGCCAGGGGGCGGGGCTGGCTGGCATGTGGTGCTGGGGTTCGAACCGCGGTCCCTATGCTTTGTCAAGCTTGTTCCAAGTAGGTGCTTTAGACCACTGAGCCATCTCTCCAGCCCCTCAAACACTCTTGAAAACACACCAGTGCACACCACACATGACCCACTCCCGAAAAAAGGCTCAAAGGCCTTTTTTCCCCTCCGGAGCATGTCCCAGGGGCTACAACCAGATTACCCTGAATGCAAGGCCTCTGGAGAAAAAAAAACAAGCAGGGCACACAGTATGGCCCAGATGCTCCCAGGGTGGGGACCAAGGGCGCTGGGGATAGGGCTCGCCAGGGTGGGTGGAGGGCAGCAGCGGGGCAGACCGCCTGAGGCTTCGAAGTCAGCCTGACCCTGGGGCAGTCTGGCCTGAGCTCTAGTTACCAGGGACAAGGTAAGCCTGGGCTGAGGCGGCAGCCGGCAGGGCAGGGAGTGGAGGGTACTGATGGCAGTAAGCCTGGGCTGAGGCTGTCCTTGCTCCTCTCCTCTCGGGTGTCTGCAATTCGGCACGTTTCTAGCACAGGAAATGGTGGGACAAAAGCCTTCTGTAAGGCCAGGCCCTGGAGAGGATGCAGATCCTCAGGGATAGGATGTCAGGAGGCGAGATGAAAGGGCAGCTGTGACCTGCAGCCCCCTGGCTGACCACAGGCCCCCAGCCCAGCTTGGGAAGGGGGAGGGGGCGTGCTCACCTCGGTGCCGGTTGGTGGTTTTGTCGAACATCAGCATGGCGTCATCCACCTGAAACACAGCCTGCCATAGAGGACCCACCAGGCACCAGGGGTTCCCATAACCCACTCTCCAGTCACTCCATGTTTCATCTTAAACCTGCTCCCTGCTCAGGGGGACGACTTTCCTTCCACCTGTAACCCACTGGGCACCACAGCACCCACTCATCAACCACCAGATTCCCAGGGGACTAAACTGCAGTTATTGAGCTCCAAGCATGTTGTTCCCTGATCCTAACATTCCCCACAGGGGAAGATCCCCATTGCATCTACAAGGAAATGAACTTGGAGAGATGAAGCTGCCTGCTCAAGGTCAAATGGCAAGCCCTGAGCCAGGCCAGGGAGGGAGGCACTGAACGGGTGTTGGAGAAGGGAATACGGGAGCCAGAGTCTGAGATGGGGACGCAAAGGCCTCTTTCCTCTTTGCAAAAGGCCAGGCGGACAGGACAGCAACCAGACTCTCCTGGTGCAGATCTTTTCTCTAATTGAGGTTTCCTTTAGCTAGAGGCTGTAATTAAAGCAAGTAGAGTTCAATGCCTGGGCTGCTGGCCTCCTACTGACTGGGGGAGGCGAAGGGGGCTGGGAAGGGGGGAGGGTCTATGTTAGCCACATTCTCTTGAACCCCGGTCATCTCTTTGCTACTGCCCCCAGCCATCCTGTCAGACACACAGGCAGCCAAAGTCCATCCCACCTCTTTCTCCTTGCCTGCAACTGGCCTGTCTTTGCCCTCTGATTCTCCCCATTACCTCTCACCACAGACCCCGATCCATCCCCATACGCTCAGAAATCCTGAGGGTAAGAGAGGAAACTTTCCTCTGGCCATGGTGCACAGCCTGTCCCCAACTTTCCTCCCCTGCCCTGCATCTGCCTTGTGAGTGGCCTCTTATGCCTCATTAAAGTAGAAAGTATAGGCCTGGAATATAGGGTGTCTTCTAACTCCCCTTTGGCATGGCATCAAGCTACATTAGGACTCTGGCTTCCCCGGGAGAAGAGCTCCAGTGGACCACGAGGCAGGGGCCCCCCTGGAGAATCTCAGAGGGAAAGGACATCTCTCTTCCCAAGGGCTGTATGCCTCCGGGCCCGACAGTGGGCTGCCACCCTCATACCCACCCCTATGGCTCCATTCCCCATTCCATCAGCTGACACACTCACACTGACAGGTACTTCAGGCTTGGCCCATCTTCCTCACCTTTCACACAAGCAATGGAAGGCAGAAACCTCAAAAGAAGGGTTTTGAGTTGGAATCCTGGGTCCTATACTTGACGGTTAGGTGAGACTGAGTGAGTGGCTTTAGTTTTCCATGACTTTGGTTCCTCAGCTGTGACATAGCCACAACGGTGACTATCTCTGACTATCTCACCGGGAGGAGGCAGATGAGATGCACTCATCACAGGAGTGCCGTGCTGTTCTTAAAGTAACAGCTAGTAGAATCACCTCTCACAGAGGGGCTTGCCCATCACATAGGGAACAGTGGCAAGGCTGCAGAGAGCAGACCAGCATCATCAGCTCCAAGGCTGCCTATTGCAGCCACTCTGTGATGACCAAGATCACCATTCTATTGAGCACCTTGACTTGGGCTCATTAATTACTTTTTGAATGGATGAATGAATGGACAGAAGAGCCAGCCACACCTTCTTCTTTAATCCTAGTTTTGAGTTCTTGCCTGACCCACAAACGGATTGGAGCCAAATCCACAGTCCTTCCAGCCTCCTTCCATCCAACCTTCCCAATCCACTATCTCTGGTCCCCCACACTCTTCAACCTGTGCCTTGACTGGACAGAACCTGACCCCCAAGTGGGGCCAGTGGGGTTGAGGCCAGGGCAGGGGGCAAGGAAAGTAGCCGGGGGGTCCAGGGTACCCACACCGGTGTCCCCTCCTGGGGCCAACTGAGGGGAGGGAGGCTCCCGCCCAGTGTCCTTAATAGGCTTTGGTCTCCATGGGAACCCGGGGCAGGGGGACTTGGGCGGGGGGAGAGGGGGGGAGGGGAGGCGACCGGGGCCTGCTGACCAGTGGGAGCCGCCAAGTTCGGCGGCCGCTAAGCCTGAGTGGCAGCCATGGCGGCTGACCATTGTTCCCCCCTCGGTGGCGGCCCCTCGATCCGGGCGGGGGGCTCCCCGCCGCGGGGCCCTTGGCATTCCCGGCTGTCCCCCTCGCTCCCTGGCAGCCTATTCTCCGGCTCCCCCTGGCCTCCCCGGGCCGGTTTCACATGCCAACGCCGATTTAGGCCCGAACAAAAGACGCGGCCGCTGACGGCTTCTCCTGGGGCCCGGTTGCCATGGCAACGCCGGCCCCGGGGGCAGGCGGCCTCCAATCACAGCTGCTGGATCAGATTAGTGCGAGCTCTAATGCTCGGCGCTCAGACACAAAGACACCCCGCCGGAGCCGAGCCGGGCCTGCTGCTTCCCAGGAGCGCCCTTCCCTCTGGGGCCCAGGCCCGGCCTGCCCTGCGTCCTGGACCCAGGTCCCCACGGAGGGGGCTGAGCTGAGGCCTCTCCATCCCACCTCTCCTCACGCCAGCATCCTAGGCCAGGGAACCCCACAATTGGCCAAGCTCTAGGTCCGTTTCCCATCCAGCGTGGCCTACTGGAGAACTAGAAATGCCTGGCTGGAGTGCGGACCCAATCCCCTAACCTGTTTCACCTAAAAGAAATAAATACCAGTGACCCAAAGCTGCCCTCCTTCACTGGACACTTGCCGCTTAGACCCTTCTTTGTAGTCTCCCCATGGAACCCAGAGGTTCATCCTGCTCACCTTTCTGGGGATACCTTATTGTCTGACGTCACCACACTTCCTATTCACACCCTATCTCTTTATAGACCCAGAAAAGCTCAATGTACCTCAGAGCTTCCAGCCAGATCACAATTTGGGGTGTTTTCTTCAGTTCTCCTCAATACCTACGGGACCAGCAGCTTCCCAGCTCCTGCCCCAAGCTCCCCACCTGTGCAAGCAAGGTACTGAGTGCAATGGGGAGTCACATTTATTGCCCCCTTATCATCCTTACTAGGAAGGGCTGGGAAAGATGCAACTGCCCGCAGCCTGGACAGGTGCAAACTCCCAGGAGGCCACAGGGTGACTGGATTGAACTGGCTACAGGAGCACCCCCTCCCTTGGGAGAATAGAGATAAGAAGGAGAAAAATACAGGGGAAGGGCAACAACAGGGATGCTACTGTGTGCCTTCCTCTCCCTGGGGATGTCCAGAGTCTGAGGCCCATAGATGGGGCCACAGCTTGGCCTGGCCTCACCTACAGAAGAACCCAGCCCCCACCCTTTGTAGGACTTGGGATGACCTGGCTAATCCCCACTTGCTATTGACCATTCTACAGTGCTTTCCCACCCCAGCAAGCACCCCATTCAAGACCCACCTTCCCAAACTGTTCAAAATACTGCTTCACGTCTTCTACCGTGGTGTTCACCGACAGCCCCCCCACAAAGATCTTCTTGGTTCGAGTCACCATCTGTTAGGGGAGGGAATGAGAAAGTGGGCATCTGAGTCCTGTGGCCTACAGCCACCAGCAGGGGCTCGAGCCCCCCTGCCAGGATGCCAGCTGACAAGCTCTCTGTGGCCCCAGTCTCTCAGAAGGCCCCTCCAAGCTCCCCCCTGGACTCCCGCCTCTAGGCCTGTCATGGGCAGCTGTGCACAACCTGGCTGGCTCAAGTATGCCACACTCCCCTGGGCTCTGTGTCTGGAAGATACCTTCCCAAAGGATTCACATGGGGAAGGGGCGGGTCAAGGACCCAGTCCCTCAGCCTAGCTCACAGACATTGGCCCTCCTGGGAGACACCAAAGCCATCCCAGGGTCTCCCTGTACTTAACACCGACATTTTCCTCATCAACCTCTTCTCAACCCAACCTCTGGCAGCCCTGTGGCTCCAGCCCTGTTTTAGGAGGAACACATGGTCCTAATTACCCCAGGAGCGCATGGCTAATCCGCGGCAATTCCCAGCCCCATCCTAACACTAAAGCACCTTCTGTCACCAAACTGCTTAATGGAATTAACCCAATTCCGACCATGTGCTCCCTGGTGTGGCTTCCTTCGAATACCTGCTCCATAATTGCTTTCAGGCCCTCTGCTGGACCCCTTCCAGAGATGCCCCTTTCCTGTCTCCTAAAACTGTTCCTCTACTTTTGCTCTGCCAGGCGCTGGGGCATTGATGGAATTCACTGAGTCAGAATCTTTTTTTTTTTTTTTTTTTTGGCAGAACCAGGGATTGAACTCAGGCCCTTGCGCTTGCCAGGGAAGCGCTTATTCCACTGAGCCATCTCCCTGGCCCCTTGGGTCAGAATCTTAAAGCACCCTTGTTCCCATCCCCATTATAAAGGGGAAACAGCTCTCCTGGAAAAGATCGCGTCCTAGAACATATAAGTTAGCAAACTCAGGAGTCCTGACCCTCTATACTGCAATTAGCCTTTCTTCCTGTCCCTTATAGTCCAGCTTAAAAATTAAGATCTGGCTAGCTGCCATGAGCCCTGGAATTGAATCTGAGGCCTCTGTCCTGTGCCACAATTTTTTTGTTACTTGGGATTTTGTTTTGTTGTTTTGAGACAGGGTCTCACTATATAGTGCAGGCTGGCCTCAAACTCTCAATCCTCCTGCCCCAGCCTCCCAAGTGCTAGGACTACAGTGGTGCATCACCATGCCTGGCAACAAACTTGGAGTGCTATCTTGCTCAACTGAGCAGAAACCCATTTCCTGCACAGTGTTCCTCTCCCCAAAACATCAGGGAAAGGGAATCCTTGAAAGAGTAGCCATAAGATAGCTAAACTGAAAGACAACAGATGACAGATTCCACAGTTCCTCCCCCTCTGCAAGGCCAACACACCTCACACCAGGGGTAGGAGGGTGACCGGGGGTCAGAGGTAAGCTCCCTGGTCCAACTCTAACTCAGCTTCAGAGGGCGAGCCTGCGCTGTTTGACCTCCCAGGGCTTCATGCACAGAGGCCGTGATCTATGAGGTCAGAATTAGACTCAGGGTCCAAACTGTACTGGTTTCAAAGGTTCCCCTTTCTCCCCACACGTGAAGCCCCCTCTCAGTACACCCCAGAGCACAGATGGAAAGATACTTAGTGTCTTCATCCCACAGAGCAAGGAGATCCACCCCTCCTACCACAGCCCTTTCCAGAAGCATGTGCCACAGAAGGAAGGGAATGATGGGAAGATCACTGCCCAGAGTTGCCTGGAACACAACAGCTCCTCCCAGCCACAGGCCCATCTACCTTAGGCTGTGCTCTCCGAGGAAAGGCCACCTTAGGGTCAATCTGAAAGACAAGGGAAAGATAGAAGGAGTTTAGGTTCCCACACTTCAAATTGTGACCAGTATCTGTCCCAAGGACCTCTTTCTCATCCCAGGATACAATGGTGACAAAAAATACAACTGACTCTGACAGGGAACAGTGGCTATGCAAGATGCTGGGTTCAAATCCCATTTATGCTGCTTCCCAGCTACAAGATCTTGGACAAGTTACTTAACCTTTTTTACCTCACGGGAAGCTCACCTACAAAATGAACAAATAATAATACCTACCTCCATAGCCGGGGAGATAGCTCAGTGGCATAAACACCTGCCTGACATGTGCAAGGTCCTGAGTTCAATCCCTGGTACCCTCCCCCCCCCAAACAAAAAGCCTGCCTCCAGAGGGTCATCTGCGAATTATTCCAAATAATGCGTACAAAGCATTTGGCACGGTATCTGGCTCACAGCAAGAACCAAAAATAATGTAAGGCAAATCTTATTCCTTCAAGTATACTGAGGACCATGCTCGCTTCACTGACTTCACACACATACCTGCCTAAAGGAAGGCATAGAATTCTGACTTTGGAAGCCTTCCAAGTGGAAGTATTCTCTGCCTGAAAAAGGCTACAAGATAGGTGTCCATAGCCACAAGGAATAGACTCAGTTCTGTCTCCCAGTTCCTCCAACCTCTAACAGCCTTCCCAAAGCTGCAAGCAAGCAAATAGCTCCTGATAACGCGGTTCGGTTCAGGACGAGGCAGGGTACAGTCTTTGAGGATGGGAAAGGGTAAGGGACTTGGACTTAGAAACTTTGGGCTGCTTGCCAAGCCTGTGATCTTGGTAACCTGTATGCCCCTCTGAGCCTCAGTTCCCTCATCCACAAAGTGGGGACAAGCACTCCCACTCTTCCCAAGGGCAGCTGTGTGGAATCAAATGAGATAACACGGGTGAAAGCGGTCCTTTGTGAACTGGCCCTCACTACGCAAACAAAGGTGCTATCACTAGGAGGCCACCTTTGCCCTTGGCTGTGAACAACCAGAGGGAAAAATCAAGATGCACCTGGCCGCTCTAGCCACACTGACAAACAGCAAGACACAGGGCACAACCAACACAGGGCCTAGGAGGCTGGGTCATGCCAGAGTTTCTTGCCACCCACATGGGTGGACATCATTCAAAAGTTCACCAACCAATCACAGAGAAGATCTATCTTTCCCCAAAGTTCCTCCTTTTCAAAACTCAGCCTTACTCTAGGCAAGTGGCTCTGGCTTCCCTCTGCCTGAATGGCATGGACCAAGACTCAGCCTCCTGCATCCTCCCCTGCTGGAATCTGTCCACAAGGATGGACCTCCAAAATACCCCCAGGGGCAATGTCTCATTTCTTGCAAAGACCTTCTAGGCTCTAAGGAAAGGCGAAACTGCCTACTGCTGCCGTCTGATTTCATACCTCGACATTCACATCCTGTTTCTCCCAGAAGCAGCCTCCCCTGGCCACCAACACACCTCAGACAGTCCCCCTGCAAGATCCTGATGGGGCGATAGTACTCAAGTCATCCCAGATCCCAGACCCACTCTACCCAACCGCTGACATACCCCACCTCCACTCTGACTCACAGCTGGCAATGTAAATAAAACCTAACAAGTAAATAAAAGGTGAAAGGCGGAACCCAAAATAGACATCCCACAATAAACTCCCTCCCACTCCCTTCCTCAGCCCAGAGATGCCAAACAGACAAAGCCCTTGCCCTCGCTGAGGCCTGGTCTCTAAGGATGCCCATCTCAGTTTCCTTCCTCCCTCTTCTCTCTTCACCCTCATCAATCTTCCACTCCCCAAGCCCCCAGCCCCAGCCCTGGCCCCAGCCCCAGCATCTCAGGAAGAAGAAGAAGAAGCCATCAATGCATTCTGAGGACAGGGGATGGTAGGAGAACAGGCAGTTTGATGGTAGATAATCACCAAAAACAATAGGCCACTGTCTCTCCTTCCCCAGCCTGGGTCACTCAGGCTGCGCCAAGAAGATCCTTTCAGACCTAGCAAAGTCGAGGCCTGGCCTCATTTGCTCATTACTGGGAGAGGCAGAGTGGGAGCCACTGGGCAGAGATAACAGGAGCTGGGGACAGGCGGTAATTTAACAAATTCTTGGGCACAACCAGCCATTGTTGCAGGTAAACAGGAGCCAGGGACTGACCCAAGCAGGGAGGCCCAGGGCTAGGGGAGAGTGGGGGAGTGTGCAGAGAGGAGATCACGCTGTCCCCAGGCGGCCCCCTGGCACCCAGACACCCCACCACCACCTAAGCCCTCCTCTGATTTTCTCCTTTTCCTTCTCCCCTTGAGCTGGCCTCTGCCAGCGCCCCCTGCAGGGTCCAAGACACTGGGGAGCAGTGGGACAGCAGCAAAATGTTCCAGGAGTTTGAATGCCAAGCAAGCAACCTCTTCCTCAGATTTAATCTTCAGACGCGTCCACCCCCCACCCCAGCAAGCTCCCTTCCCATAAATCTCCTGCACGGGCAAAGCAGGTCTATGTCTTCTACACAAAGCAAGGAGCCCATTGACCAAAGTCGGGGGAGGAGGGGAGAAGACTCAGTCAGGGATGCCTTGCTATTGGTCTGGAATAGAAGGGGGTGTCACGGAGTCAAACACTAGTTACAGTTCAGAAGCCACCGGGTGGGTCACTGTAGTCCTGACTCACCCACTCTGGGCAAGGAGAGTGACCCAGCCCCACCCCGAGCTATGAGGCTCCAAGAGGAGTACTTACAGCGATTGATCGTGTGCTAACTGCACCTTCCCTCACTTAATACTGGGGCGGCGGGGGGGGGGGGGTCACATCTCATCCCAGGCCTGGGATTCTCCCTCGGTTCCCCAACTCTAGTGACAAAGTTTCAGAGCACCGCAGCCTTGTTACTCGGGGAACACCCTCTTTCCTCAAGGATCCCTGTCCAACTGTACCCTCAGGAGAGTCCTGACCCTCTTCTCCGACAGTCTCCCTCGCCCCAAGGACCCCCAAACACCGAGGGCCACTCACTGTTTTGGAGTCGAGCTCGTGCCGAGATTGCGCCAGCACTTTATCCACCCCCGCCTGGTCCATGAAAGTGACGAAGCCGAAACCCCTGCGCGGCGTAGTGAGGGAGAGGCAGATGGTTACAAGGCAGTGTGAGTGGCAGCGGTGAAGGGGGGCAAGCCCGGAGCAGGAGGAGCGGGCGAGGGGCTCACCTGGATCTCTTCGTCAGGGGGTCCCGCATCACCAGACACTCCTTCACCTCCCCGAACTGGCCGAAGTATTCGCGCAGCCCTTCTGTAACCACACACCCGCCTTCGGACCAGTCCGGGCCCCGCGCCCTTCCCCCCCGCCCCAGTCCTTTGCCCCGGGTGACCCCGGCGCAGCCCGGCCACCCCCGCGCCAAGCTGCCCGCGCGCTCCTCGCGGCCGGCCACCCTACCCCCGCCCGGCTCGCGTGGAGCCTGCTGGCGACCACCCGGGCCCCGGGAAGCCCAAGGCCGAGCCGGGCTGGTGGGGGGACAGCTTCGGCCGGGTTCCCGCCGCTCCGAGAGCCGCCTCACAAAAGTTTGAGCCGCAGGTGCGAGCGGAGTTGGCGCAGCCGCCGGCGGGTCCCGGGGGCCCGGCCCACCCCCACGCCCCCTGAACCCCTCAACTGCCCTCCT